TTTGGGGGGGGGTGCATGGGATCCCTGCCACCTTCCCAGGACCTTGGGCAAGTCACCCACACTCCCTGGGCCTGTTTCCCCATCCGCAAAATGATGGTAATAATACTTCACCTACCTCATGGGGGAGGTTGTGAGGCCACCGTCACCTGACCTGGGGGTCAAGGCAGGAGGACTCTGAAGGTGCTGCTCGGGAGCAAAGTATTACTGACAGTAAGGAGACCTGAGAGTAAGCCCACCTGCCGTTCCCCACAGGGAGCCTCCAGGGATGGTGGGCCCAGACCAGGCCCGTCTGTCTCCACTGTGTCCCCGGCCCCTTCCTGAGCGTCATCTGCCTTCTATGTGGGTGCCCTAAATTTAGTTCTCTTTCTGTAGCCATTTCCCTGTGTAACTTCTCTACAAATTCCACTTGCCCCAGGACCCCCCAATGCCTGCCCACTGGCACCAGCTGCCTGGGGAGGGGAAAAGAAAACAATCACAAAAGAGCCAAGAGGCCCCCAGCTGGGGCCCGAGGGGTGGGGATCGGTGGCCAGTTTGTATTGTGTTTGAGTCCTCAGCGCAAATGTTTTATATAAAAAAAAAAAAAAAACAAAACCCACTATCACAAAAAAGAAAAAAAAAAAAAAAAACAAACCAAAACCCACTATCACAAAAAAGAAAAAAAAAAAACAGCAAAGAGAAACGAAGAAAAAAACTGAAGAAAAAAAAAAAAAGGAAACAAAACCATACGAAATTTTTGCCATCTCACACACACCTTCTAAGCCAGCAGGATTTCCTCTTTGCAAAAATCCTATTTTTGTGGGAATGGGCCCTGCTTTTTGTGGCAGGGCCTGTTCTGATTAATAAAGGATCATGAAAAAGTAGGGCCTTGGCTGTTTCCTCCGTGGGCCCCAGCCCTCTCTCACCTCTCCAGGGGAAGAGGCAGTGGGGTGAGGGGGCTGGGGAGCCTGGGACTGAGTCTCCCCTCAGCTTGTAACCTTTGCGATTCGACTTTGCTAGTGACCAGGTCCTTTCTGAGTTCCTAGCTCATTCTCAGATCTAAAATACAATCCCACCGGCTGCCAGAAAACAGGGGAGCAGTTACATCTCTCAGGCCAGGCCTGAAGCAGGGCTCACAGGAGTGATGTCCCTGCCCGGCCTTAGGGGTGTCCCCCTGATATCCTCTCCCTGAGTTCCCAGGGGACCGTCTCCACCCTCCAAGGCAGGTCAGACAAACGGAAAGGGGCCCTTCCATCTTGACCGCATCCACCACCCTCTGGACCACTGTGGTTTCAGGCCAGTCTCTCCTTCCTGGTCCCCATGGGAGCTCTAGGTCTGTCACCCGGCCCGGCTCCTTGCCAACATTTTCTAGTTGGATTCTTTAGCATTAGAAAAGGTTCCAACTCAAAAGTGTACCTTCCAGCTTGCGGGGCCTGGGACACTGGTTCCAAGCCCTTCTCCAGTCTCGGTGGCCCTGGGCTGTTTCCTGGCTGGCTCATAGTTCCCTCAGCCCACGAAAAAGCAATAACCCCTCCAACCCCTTCCCCGTTCCCTCTCCACACCCAGCCCAGGGGAAGCCAAGGCCTGGCAGCTCTCAGGGTACTTCGGAAGGAAGGTGCTACGCCCGCTCAGGCACAGAAGGGACAAGCGTGTCTGCGGGCGCTGCGCACTCCAAAGCCACACTGCACCTCCTGCTCCCCGGCTCCTCCGGCTGGTGGCTGCCTCCTCCCGCTGCACTAAAGACCCTGCCTGAAGCTGCCCCCTCTCTTTCCTTCTGTCCCCTCCATTCCCTACAGTCTGGTTGAAATGTTCCTTTCAAAGGTAATTCTTTTTGGCTTCTGATCTCTGTTCCAGAGGGAGGGGGCCCTGGGGGTCAGGTAAGTAGCCTCAGGAGCGCCCCCTGCCAGAGCTTCTGTTCAGGCTTTCTCTGTGAAATCAGCCTTGGACAACTGAGCCTCGAAGCAGAGACGGCTCTGCTCCGGCAGAGGCCTCAGGGCTCTCCCTGGACTCCGCCTCGTCCCTCTGCGTTGGCGCCCTCCTTCCAATCTGTCTCCATCCACGCTTACTCTGAGATATTCGCCCACCTGTCCCCGTACCTGGGACCACTGCCCCCTTTTCTTTCTCCCGCAAGTCCCTCCTGGACACCACTGCTCTCTAGAAGGCGATCCTGGGTTCATCCTGCACGCCTCTCCCTCCCCCACAAAGACAGCCAGAAGGACATCGCGCGAGCCCACCGTATGCCCCAGCCCGTGGCTCCCTGACCATCTGTTTCCCGTGACGACGTCCCGCTCCCCGTGTCTGTGTCCTGCGTGTACGTGTCGTGTCTTGTTTAGATTGTGAGCCCCCCTGGGCAGGGATCCCTGTCTGAATCCACGTTCTGTGTGGCACGCCAGGGTGTGCTAATAAATGTTCATCTTCAGAGCAAGAGTGCCCGGGTGTCTTGAGGGAGCTTTGGGACAGGTGGCTGACATTGCGGTGTGGTGGCATTAGGTCCCCGGCTCCCTGACACCCTGTCCTCCTCCTTTCCCAGGCCCCTGAGGTGGGTGGGAGGGGAGTGAGACATGGCAGTAACAACAGCCGGGCAAACAGCCCCCCTCGGTGCATGTCTCCGCTGCTCTGCTGGCCAAGAGGTCTGCTGTCAGGAGGCTCTGGGCTCTGGGGACAGGAAGAACCAGCTGCGATCCTCGATCCTCGTCCATACCACTCCCCTAAGTGACAGTCAGCCTCCCCAGGGTCGCTCCCACGTAGCCTGGCTGAGCACCAGGCTAGGAGTCCTCACCCCCATTTATGGCAAGTCTACACTCTCCGGACCTGGTTCTAGCCCTAACCCTTCCCCTGCCCTGTTCTCACCACAGCTCCCACAGACCTCCTTCCTGCCTTAACCAACTCCCTTGGCCTCTGCCCCTGCACTGCCTGGCACAGACACGACTTTTCTGGGGCCCTCCTCCATTCCCCCATGCCCATCTCTGACTGCCCCGGGATGATGTGGGGAACCACAGACGTGGCTGTTGCTACAAGTGCCCCTAAAGTCTCCCCGTATACCAGAGGCCAAGTGAGGAGTCCCAGGAAGTTAGAGGGGAAGAGTGCTAGAACTTCTCATTTGGGGCTTGCCCCATCACCAAGAGGGGCTGTGATGGCCATCTATTATTTGTGTGTGTGTGTGAGAGAGAGAGATTTTTGCTATAGGGCACGTGCACTCGCCAGACAGAGATAAACATAGAGACAGAAAGCGAGAAATCACCCCCCAGGGGGGATGACCACGCCGCAATCCCTTCTCCATTCTCCTCTCGGGATCTTGGGCACGCACGCACACGCGCCCGGCATGAGTTTTAAGCCACCGGGGCCAGGACACGAACCACAGTCGACTACGTGGGAGTCCAGCGACATAGCCATTATGCTAACTGCTGGTTCCCATGGCTATTTTTGACAGAAGCCCCCACCGTGGTCTCCCTCACTTCTGCACAGAGACAGATCCTCCTAGGGCTCTAAAGCCAGGCGTTAGCACCCTCTTAAACCAAATCCCAATTTGCCAGGAGGAACCAGCTCCTGCTGCTGCACAAGCTAGTAGCGAAGCCGAGACCACTGTCCTCTCCTCTTCCTGGGGAGAGGCTCAGCCTTGGCAGCCCCTGCTGGGCATGAATAAGAGTGCCATGTTTGACCATGTGGAAAGGCAGGGCCTGTGTGTCCCAGGACAGCCCGGGAGACTCATCTCAGGGCCTTGCCCTGCGCCGAGTCCTGGGTTAGTGCAACAGCAAAGAGCAGCAGGGAGACAGCCCACAGAGGGCGAGGGGACAGCTCTGCCCGGCAGTTCCTCCAAGGTGACCCAAGCATCCACACCCCGCTCCCGTGTCTAAGACTCGCATGAAAGCCCTGTAGCCAGACACTTTGCATGGGCTATGGAGCTGCAGTATCAGATGGAAATGAGCCTAACTCCTTGTGTACAGATGGAGAAACCGAGGCCCAGGGGCATGGCTTGTTCAAGGTCACTCGGTCACTAGGGCTGGCACCCAAGCCTTCTGATCCCAGACCCTGCAGTATTTCCCCTACGCCCTGATGCAAGGGGCAGCCCAAGAGGACAGTCCCTGGCCTGAGTGGGGTCAGGAGAGACCAAATGATCTCTCAAATTTCTTCCTCCGAGATCCCAGGTCCCACAAAAGCCCGGATGGAACCTGAGTAGGGGAAGCCCTGTCACTCAAGTTCCAGACCTCTCCTTCTCCTTGGGTAAGGACAGCCCCTAGTCGTCCCCACCCTAGCACCCCTTTGTCTCTTCAAGGCCTTCACTCTCTCTTGCAAGCAGACTGCTCCAGATCCGTGCCCAGCCTCCTCCCTCATCAGGACCCAGTGTGCCCGCTGAGCTGCTGGGCAAGGCCTGACCTTTTGGCCCAGTATGACATCAGCCCGTTGCCATGGTGATGTAGGCCTGGCAGGATCTTCTCATGGGAAATGGTCTTCTAGGCTTGAGGTTTTACAATGTTCTTCCTTTCATGAAATCCTTCATTCCGCCTCCCCCTACCCCCTGCCACCACCAAATAACAAGGGGAGAAGGTAAAGTCGAAACTGAGCAAAAAGAAACTCAGAGCGTGAGAGGAGGAGGAAAAGAGGGCAAGAAAGAAGGACGCGAGTAGAGCTTTGGGGTGGCAGCAGTACCGGGGACAGAGTAAAGTCAGCCCAGCTTGGGGGTGGAGGGGAGACGCCAAGCCATGCTAAGAATAGAGAACCTGAGAACGAGCTGGAGGAGACCCACAGCCTGACCAAGGGAGGGGGTGAGCTGGGAAACAGGAAATAAGATATCAAAAGGCGGGACACCAGCCAGGACACCAGACATGGCCAAAGCCACTTCTGTCTGCCGACCACCACTTGCTCCCCAGACAGACCGGACACAGCAGTGGGCTGGGGTCAGCCTGACCCAGCGCAGGGGCACAGGGACAGAGAGGCGGTGCAGAGGGAGCCCAGGGTCCCCTCAGCAGTGGCACCCGGTGCTCCCAGGGCTTAGAAATAAACAGGCATAGAGGAAATGCACATTCTTTCTCCAAGAAATAGCATTTATGTTTACAGCCAGTTTTTTCATCCTAAAGAAAACACTACCAGGCGGGGCCCCTGCCCCTCACAGTGTCCCTGAGTGTCCCTTGGCCCTGGCCCTCTCCTCCCGTTATTGCTTGAATGGGAGAGATCTGGTCCTGGGAATTGCAGTGCAAGGCCCCTCTCCTCACCCCCTCGAGGCTGTCCCTGGTGACGGAGTGGAGGCTCACAGCGCTCGTGCCGTGCCCCGAGCCGTGCCAGCCACCCTGGCTGTGCCCATGTAAGGGAATGGAGAGTGCAGGCAGTGGGAGAGGCCCTGGAGCCAGCCTCCCAGAGCAGAGAGCCCTTCTCTGGGGCAGGAGGCCCTGGAGGCACAGTGGCTTCTCCTCCAACTTGACAGCTGGAAGGCTCAGGCTGTGGGGAAGGGAGGGAGCACTTTCTTTCCTAGCGAGATCCGATCCCAAGCGCTTGATGGGAGGAAGGATGGGGAGGAGACCATGCCTTCCAAACTTGAGTGGGCCTGGGGAGGGAGGTATGTAGCGTGAGCCCCGCAGAGGGGTGAGGGCAGCTGTGGTGTCAGGGCCCCAGTCTGTTTCCCACATCTGCCCTGGGCACCAACCCCAACTCCAAGTCCCTGTCCCTGGTCCTTCTCCCAGGGGCGTTCTCACACAGATGGTTACTCCAGAGGTAAGCACTCCGCACCAGAAAGGGTAGGCCCAGGAGACCCAAACCCCAGAAGGAGGGGGGTTGGAGGGCGCGGGCTCTGGGCATCCAGACTCAGCATGAGGTGATGCTTCCAGGGACAGCGGGGACCCTGGTTCCCAGAGGAAGCTGGCATCTCTGTGGTGGTAGAGGCTCCACCACCCACTGGATGGAGCCCAGACTTATTGGTCTGATCGCGGGCCACAAATCAGTCAGGGGCAGTCTTCTTGCTACCCAGGAGTGTCTGAAGATGGCCCCCAGGCCCGCCTGTGCCTGCAGCTTGCCCAAAGCAGCCCTTCCACTTCCCCCAGGTAGGAGCCCACGGTCCCACAGACCTGAGCAGCCAAGCTTCCCAGAGGCGCTCTGCTCAGAGTGGCAGGAGCCCATCACCCAGAGCAGAGGCTCAGGTGCCCAGCCCTGGAGCAGCTTCCAGGGCACGAAGACTGCCCTCTCCAGGTCCCAGAGCCCGGGTGCTAGCTCCTCCTATGAGCAGGTCTTCTTCCTCCTCATCTTCAAAGGCCCGCGCTGGGCGCCGAGGTGGCGGGCGGGGCGTGGGCTCGTCGCGCTCGGCCATGCGCTCGACTGCACCCTCGCCCACGAGGAAGACAGTGTCGGCGACGCGCGGGGGTCCAGTGACAGGGTTGTGGTCGTAGGAGAAGACGCGCAGAGCACGCAGCGGGTGCAGGTCGGGGAAGCCACCCAGGCGGTTGCGGTCGAGGTCGAGGATGTGCAGGCGGCCCATGCGCAGCAGCGCGGGCGGGAACTCCTCGAAGCGGTTGCCGTAGAGCCAGAGGCCACGCAAG